GTAGCAGAATGTAATACATGTCCTAGTAAGTAATAAGGATATGTTAGCAGTAAGGCTACCTGAGCTTGTGATTTTTATGATTTTAAAAACGGAAGATAGAATCATTCATCCTTAAAAAAGAACTAAATAAGCGATAAGGAAATGGCAGTTTGGCATACTTGATTATAAATCTTTCATGAAAGGCTTTAAAGATTCTCTATACATTTGAATTTCAGAATCACAGGTTGCACGTTGAATTGCAACATTTAACATCAGCTAACTCTTCACTTCTTTTCACTTCTGAAGAGAGAGCGCTGATTTACATTTGAACTTTCCTTGCGGTTTAGACTCAGTTAATGTTTGGTTTGACTTTACTTTACTTTCATATTTTTACAACCCTATATATCTAAATCTGTAAATAGTTACACACACAAACAGCTGACCAGTGTGGAAGCAGATGTTGTTTGCCTTTGATTTGTTCTATCTGTGATTTGAGCTTGTGATCTGTGGTGGTCCCATTAAGGAGAGGCAGCTAATGTTAGCTAGACCCTCCTTCCTTTCTACAATGTGGGACAAACACAACACCAAGTTTGGAGGGGCAGCCATGACTCAGCAGGTGTTGAAATAACATAAACGAAAAGAAATGTCTGTTAGAATCACTGCTAACGTTAACAAGTATCCATGTGGATGATTGTCAGACTAGCTTGCTAGCTCCCACTTTTTGCTTGAAATAGCCTATTAATACCGTGATGGAGACTCTCAAATGTTTGACATTGTAAATGGACGGATGTCTTAAATTGCTAATGGTACATTACCAATGCTCTGTGTGCCTGTGTAGAAAGGGGAAAAAATTATCTTGTATCTATGCTCGTAGACAAAACAGGGAAGTGACATGCTCCAGTCAGTAGCGTACCGTGGAAGTTAAGAGCGTGTCTCCTAGCAACATTGGCTCTAAAATATTAAGCAACTGCTGCCAGAGGCCTGAAGCTTCACAGCTGTGTCCTGTGTGGATGTCAACCTACTGTCATGGCTCTACATTACAAAAGGCTCCAAATACTTGATAAGAACTTTCAAAATAAGTAAAAAAAAAGGGGTTCCAAACTTTTTTTCCTGTTTATTTATCTTAGTCAATAGCAACTAATGACAGCATATCTACTATAAACCATAATCAGGAGCTGAAAAATATTCATTTTCAAAGCATGAAAATGATCTTCACATGTTCTGTAATTCTTTAACATTACAATTTCAAAAACTTCAATGCAGAAAGATGAATTTGAGAGGAAAAGAACAGTGTCCCTGTAGGCAGATCTGAGGATCTAGGCAGAGACTTCACAATTTATGAATAGCTGTCTCTATGCATAGAACTGCAGTAGGTAGGTCTGAAGGAAAACAGAGGCACCCTACATGGGCATTATGTTTGCTGAATTCAAACAAAATGTCAACGGATAAAACCCAGCTACGGTGGATGTAATGAATAATAACAGGACAGAACACATTCTCCCCTGTACATTCATTTGCTTCTTTTTTTCTTTTCCTCTCCCGTATCTTCTATGTTGGACTCTTTCTACTCATCTTTTCATCCTTCTCTCTGTCTTTCTCTGCTTGAGTTCAGCTCACAAACTGGAAGAAGGCCTTTTAAAGCTTACATCTGGTCTGTAGGAGGTGGTGTCTTCAGAAAGGCAACTCAAGATTCTTATAAAGAAAAGGGTTTTGGAAAGTTCTATGAAAAGACTTGAGTATTTAGTTAAATAATTTATACGGTGAAAGCTTGAGAGCTGCCACTGACACAGACTCAGCACCGATACACACTCGCAAACACACTCACAATGTGATGGCGGTCATCTCAGAGGTCATAGATGATTAATCGGCAGGTTGGAATCGGTCAGGAAGAGTGGAGGGTAGAGGATTTATACATGGAGCTTAGCACCTTCAAACACTTGTTTTTTAAAAGCTCCATTTCTCCACGCCGTTAAACGGATCTCTTCCTGCTGAGAAATGAGAACATTAACTGGGACACGGACATGGTGCACTCTGCATGGCCCTGCCGAGCCCTCTGAGCTGTAACATTTCACATCTGAGCTGCGCTCCTTACAAGCTCTCTTGACACCCCAATGCATCATGGGAGGGCTGTAGGGGAGGTTTGGCTGGGGCAAAGCACAATGTGTCTCAAAATCTGACAACAGCTTAGGGCATTTCCATTAAAAACCACACAACTCAATGTTACAACTGCACCTTAAGGTGCAAGGAGAGTCTTTTTTTAATTTTTATTTTATTTTATTTATTTATTTTTTACAGGACCTCATTCTTTTTTCCTGCTTTCACACCTCCAGAGGTGAGAAGGAGGGATGAAGAAAAGAAAACAGCCATAGTGGCAGCTTTTGACAAATTCATCATGAGTTGACACAAACAGGCAATAGGTACAACTTATTGTGTGCTATTTTCAGTTGTTTTGTACATGTACATTTTATTTTATAGCGTGACTCGCAGGCGCCGGTTTAGTCTATTAGCTTTTCACTAATGCCCCAAGGCACTGCTGACTAAACAAACCATCACTGAACCACAACACATCTACTCCCACTCCTGCTCACAGATTCCCTTATCTTGCCTCTGCACCCCTATCACTCAGATGCGGGGGTCATGATGCGTTCTTATATGTCACATATGTTCTTTGCACACATATGTACACCCTGTGTTTAGTGATGGGGGGTTTGAAGCAAAGGCTCCAAGGTGCGTCCCGTGTAAGAAGGGGTGTGCCAAATGAAGTGCCACTTCGAGGCATCGCATTGTCAGGAACACGTCACGTTGTTTCAAGGCCTTGACACCCAGCACTTGGGGTGCTGAGGGTGGTAGGTTGGTTCACGTTTGTCAATATAGCAGAGTTTGTACAAGAGTTTACCAGAGAATTTTTTATTATTAGGAGTAGAAGTAACATGAGTAGTAGTAGCATTGAAAAGTGAGGATTTGCTCCATACACAAAAACTTGTGTATCCTCACCTGTACCACAGGGTACTGAAGTTCTTATGTTCACCAGCATTCTCAGCGCCATGTGAGATGATGTTTTCTGAGGCTGGGGAGGTGATTTGTAAGAAGAGCAACCACCCCAAGCCAGGCACAGTGAAGAAAGTTCTGTTTTTAATAAAAATCAATAAAAATGTCCCCTCCTTTCTCTCCCCCATTTGCACTGTACTGCTCAGTGTACTCCCCGCAAGCACAACACAAATGTCTTCCTGTCAGTCATATTTATTAACAACCCTTTATAAATATGTTTGATAAGTAATGAGTCAATGACATAGGTAAAAGAAGCAATAGCAGGGCCATATTGTTCTCTTCCTCACTGCCTCAGGAAACTTCCTTTGAAAGCACAGGTAGCAAACCTGTGATAAGTGCAGGACTTTTCCACAGCTTGACCTTTAGCAGACAAGGACAAAAATATTTTTATATGAAAAAGCTAAAGGACACCACTTACATGTATATATATATATATATATATATATATATATATATATATATATTACATCTTTGAGTTGGTGAAAGCATGTGTACATGAAATGTGGGGGCAACTGAGCATAGTGAAGGTGACTTGACAAAAAAGTTAGTTGTGTGACTGTGCAGTGATATTTGCTGAGGATTTCAATAGTGAGTTCATCTGTCAAGCGATCCCAAGAGTTAAAAAGTGTCTGCATCAGCCAATGCAACATTATGTAGTAGTGCTGTGCAGCTCCACCTATAACCTGTGGGTTGGGCATGTTCGGATAAGCTACCAGTAAATATCATGGGTTTGGGCTAATCAGGTCAAAAAAATGACAAAGCAGCCTTTCGTTATAAATAACTTACAGAAGCACTGCATGCAATAGGCTTTGTGTTATAGGCTCTCTGACTTGCGTGCATAAGACTAGCCTGGGATTACTGGTCCAGGTTCCACCTCTCTCTCTCTCTCTCTCTCTCTCTCTCACACACACACACACACACACACAAAAAGGTTCGAAATAGAGACCTTTATTGCTATTTTTTCTCTTTCTACTGGTATATTTTACCATTTCTTAAAGACGTTTGCCACTTTTCTGATCTGAACTCATGTCAGACTGACATTGATACATTAATCATTCAGTGTTAAGCAACAAATCTTAACAATTCCTGGAAAGGTGTTTCAAATTAAAAGCATTTGTGGGCTCAAATGGCATCGTCCCTTTCTTCTCTGGAAGGCTTGGAATGTAAAACATCTGTAGAAGTGTTGGCTGTAGTTTAATATTGAGCAAAAGAATGGCAAAGTAGAAGCAATTCAAATTATTGAGTGAAAACCTTTTTTTTTTTTTACAAAGGAAAAACACAGAGCAGCAGACTGGTGAGTATGACATGACTGTGTCGTTGTGCTGGTGAAATTAGTGCGAGGAAAATTAACTTTATTCTGAGTTTGGCATGTGAAACATGACCGCACAGGTAAATCCAACCACTATCCACAATTTTTCATGTTTTTTTAAAATTTTTTTATCTGGCTTTCATTACTACTGGATGTTATTTGAGAATTTATGTTTATTATTGTGGAACTTGACCTCTTGTTTGTTGTATGTAACTTCACTTTTAACTGTGCTACCAGGGACCAGAAGCTATCCACAATCAAACAAACCCAAACAACAAAATTGTTAATCATAATGTCATATTCACTACCATGTCATTTATGAAGCAAACTAAAGTAGAACTGACATTTTAGACTAAAAAAGCTTCACAGGGCTCACCACATGCCTCAATAATTCCTCCATTAGTGAGAGAACTGTCCCTAACCAGGAGACCTTGGTTTTAACTTGTTATTGGGAAGTATCTGCTTTGTTGATGTGTCCTAAGTCCTTGAAGAAATGCAGTATATATAACTCTTAACTTACCCTGACCTCTGACTTCCCTGGAGGGGTAAACAAACACAATTTTCCTACATAATGTCTGTAGAGGCTACGTGTGGGTGACAAGGGGATAAAAAAGAAAATACACTGCTCAAAAGAAATAGAGAGGAAAAAAGTTATGTTTCTCACCAGTGGATGTGTGAACTCAGGGGCATGGTCGTTCTCGTCTGTGATGGTGATGGTAGCCGTGGCTGTTCCTGTTAGGCCCACCTCACTTCCTGCCATGTCCTTAGCCACAATCTCCAACTCATATGTTGTGGTTGGCAGCGTCTGGAGAATAAACACACAGTGGCGCAGAGTTAAAAAAGTGATATGAGGATATGAACACAGAATATACATGGAAAAAAGAGATGAAGCAAATAAAGGAAGGATAGTGGTGTCATGTCTAGAGAGAAAGAAACAAGAAGAATAATGGAGAAGGTAACACTAGAGAGGAGGCTACCAAGGAAACATTATGAGAAATTTAATTATTATGAGCACAAAGGCTTAGCAAGTACAAGCACTTTAACAGAGTGAAAGACAAAATCAAGATCATATCAGCTTCTGCAGGACTTTCTCTCTCTCTCTCTTTCACACACACACACAGTTAAAGGAAGTCACAGAGTTTATCCCAGAGAATCTATTTGTGAAGCGAATCATGGAAAAATCCTTATTAGATGAATGATTAGCTGTGTGAGTGATTAAATTAATCCACTCAAACCAAAAGCTAACACTTACCGTCACGTTCTACATTAATGTAAGACCCTTTAACAAAGCTTGAAAGCTCCAATAATAGTCTGCTACAGGCTTGAGCCCACTATCAAACTGGCAGCATAAGGGTGAAAAAAAAAATCACCACACTGTAAATATGCGCTCTCACGTTCACGTAGGAGCGTTAAAAGCTCTGGTAAACACTCGCCACATCTCTAGGGAAAGGCCAGGAATCCACATTTTTAAATTCATACTTGTAAGAACAGATAGAGTGGTAAAAAAAGAAAGAAAAAGTGTCCCGAAAGCTATGCCGTGTGGGATCAAAGTGTAAGCATACGATGCAAAGTTTACGCTCATCCATTTTAAAGATTCCCGAGAGCTCAGAGCTGGATTTAACACACATCTTCCACAATGCTTTGGGGCACTGAAGATCAAGACAAACTATTTTCCTCAACATGATCTGTAAAATTACAGTGATCATACAGGGGCCTTGAGATTTCCGAACTTTGCTTTTAGAATCTTCACACTTCACATTTTTATTTGCTGGTTCAATATTGTAGATGAAAGAATGACTTGAAAAAATAATAAAGCCTTAACTTAACCCATGTTACTTCATGCATACAACAGAAATTAAATATAATCATTCTACACGTCTGTTCGAGCCAGGGAGAAGAATCTGCTCTTGATTACAAAGAAGCTTTCCCGGAGCTCGAGTGCAAAGCTCCAAATAAGATATGTAATCCATTTACTGGCCTTCGAGCATCTGCAATCTTTATAACAATTGGAGAAATATAGCTTATACATACAGTGAGAGGATGGCATTCATAATGATCATAGCAGCAATAATCATTTGCTGCCATAATTCATGCCTAATAGTAATGTTGACTCTTGTATATAAATAACAGGAGGCAGGGGCTGGTAAAGCCAACATTTATTTATCCGCTGCAGCGTTTTCTCCCTGCTGGGGGTGTTAACTGTCACATGCTTAATAAACTTCATCCATCTGTCTCACTGAAAATGCTGCTGGAGCTCTCTCCTGCATTGTAGATTCACCTTTGAGCGCATGTCGACTTGTCTCATCGACCCCTGTTACAAAACACAGAGGAGCGAGATGATCCATGCACATTAACACAGTGGAATACACACTTACACACACACTAAGAAAAGAAAATCCACCTCAGTAGCAGTTGGATTTTGAATTAGAAAAACAAAACAAAACAAAAAAAAAAAACACACCACTGATCATCGAAAAATCTTATTTTATAAGGTTTTTTTTAAGGTCATAAAGAGAACGCCCTTGTTTAACACACTAACTAAAAAGCCTATAGGAGGGCATTTATGGGCCAGCTGATGGCCACTAAAGTATTGCTCCAGCTGAGCCAGTTTCACGGTGTAGTTCTATTTGGACTGTTCAAGCTCTTTGTGAAAGTGTTTTGTTAGTTAGTGAAAGATTCTTTTCAATTTCATGTCTTGTTTAGAGCATTAAACAATTCCATTTAAACAGTAAGACCAGGAGCAAATTGGTATTAGTGGTATTAGTGAAATGATTTTGCTTTCAGTCATGAACGAGCTCATAGTTGGCAGTGATGAAAAGTATTTATAAATTCAGAATTGTGTAGAACAGTCATCCTTTTTGTTTTACTCTACTCACTCTGTCTACCCTAAACCCACCAGTGTGTTTGCATGACTTTCTCTGCCTCTATCTTATTGATAGTTTACTGACGAAGACTGGTGACCCAGTGTTACCTCGTGCTGTACACAAATCCTCTGCTTTACTCAGTGTGTGTGTGTGTGGCCTTGTTTTACTGAATTCATGGGGTGAGAAAAGGGGGAACCCACTGTACTTGAGGGATCCAACACTTTGGTGGGGACCAAATTCTGGACCTCAATGTCAGCACAGCTTGTGTGTGTATGTGTGTGTGTGTGTATGCATATATGCATGTGTGTGTTTTTCTCTGTTTGCCTGTTCTCATCATAGATATTGCTCTAATCAATTTCATCTGAGGCAGGCAAAGGGAGATCAAACGATCAATGGTCAGACACCTTGAGGGTCGTTTTAATTATCACATCAGCTGCAGACTGTTCAGTGAAATGACATATTGAGGTCAGGAACAACATAATGTGCTTCAGGTCAAAAACTTGTGTCTACTAAACTAATTTTCAATCTACTGAGTGGAAGAGTACAAGAGTGGAATTTTAAATGTAAGATAGGTGAGCTCCTTTACATTATTTACATGAACTTCAGCATGCTACATGTAACTGTACATAAAAATCCCATCAAAGTCAAATGAACTAAAAACAGGAAACAATTTGAATATAATGAGTGACAGGGGTGTCCCTCATAACCAGCTCCGGCTCAATCAAACACTGTGCAGGCAGATGGTGCTCCACGGACCTGTGAGTTTATTAAACCCATGCACACAATCACACATGAATGTACGCACACTCACGCACACGCAGGCACACGTGCGCATGCACACACACACAAACCTGCACACAAACCTACACTTTTGCCCTCCAGCTGGAGAAGAGCAGGGCTCTGGGATACCTGCAGTCTCAGTGGTGTCTAAACACATTGAGCGTGGCCTCCTCTGGTGACTGACAACGTCTTAATGAGTATTTCCTGAGTCTCAACTCAATTATAAACTCCCTGGCAGTACCTGGCCAAGAAAAGATGTTCGCATTCACTCTGGGCTAGAGTTACATCAACAGAGAATTTTCCCTCCAGGTGTCAGAAAACTTCTGCTGGTATACTGTTGATTGAGACACTCCACTCAGTCTGACTTTTCATTTTTCAGCTCCTTGTTAGTTTGTCTGGCAACACTTAATTCAACTTTTATGAGCAGCAATACAGTTACAGTTACAGTGCATGGTACTTTCCATTTCTCCTGTGGGATTTATATAAAAATGTTGTGATAAAAAATATTATATAAAAATGACTACATTATTACAGTAAAACTGAAGCAGACATGCTGATGTTTAGCAAGTTTATTTACCTTGTTCCATCTGAGTTTAGCGTGTTAGGTATGGTGCATGGTAACATTTATTAATTAGCACTATGCACAGCTGCAGCTGATGGCAATGCAATTAGTTTTGCAGTTATTTAGTCATAAACCAAAGTATTGGACAAATCAAAAATTTGACCTTGACCATGATGCAAAGATGAAAAGATGATGAAGGGTGAAAAGTTAAGGGTCAACCCTTGGACCATCAGAGGAACTGAAGAATGTAAGAGCAGAAGAAGTCACTGTATCCCCATGAAGTATAGCACTGCTTTCCTTCCAATGCATGGGATAATTTTCTTTGTAAAACATAAGTGGGAGAAAAACTAGGAAGCCACAAGAGATTTCCCAGAGCGATTGTGTTTGTGAGACCTGACATGAAACTGAACAAAGAGCTAATGAAGTCGAGCATACCAAATGATATGACAGGCCTTGTTTCAGAGACATCTGATCTGAGAATGACATTTCAGACCGTCACATTCTGTCTTGAAAGGATTTCATCAAAGCCCCTCGAGTGAGGGCTGATCCCCAGCACAAAGCAAAAAGAAAGAAGAGGATGAGAGCAAGAGACAGAGGAATGGAGAGGGGAAAGGGGAAAGTGAAACAGAACGGCCTGACATCTGAGACACCATATTAACTCTCTGAATAGGTGTGATATTATAATCAAATTGCCAGAGGGTTCTTTGTTCTCTTCTGGCCCTTCACTAGTACTTGCTCTCAGCACCAAACCACTGGCTATTGTACAGGCCTCTTCAAATGCTTAGAGAAATAATGACAGACATAAAAAGGTTTAGAAAAAAAATTCAGACACCAGAGACATGAAAACCCACTGGTGACAGTTTTTCTGCAAGCACAACATTGTTCCTCTACCTTTATGCCTTCATCTGCCTCATCTTTTTACCTCTCTTCCTTGTGCACAGCTCATTTTTACCAAAATGCAGACATTTTCTTTTCTCTTGGCACTGAAAAGACACTCTCATTATGTGACAAATAAACTGTGTTCTAAGGGCCTCCAAAATGACTCTGGTCTCTCTTAAAAAATAGGTTCCATTTTCTGCTTCTCATTCTTGGTAGACTTTTGTTTGGGAATATACATGTACAAAAAAAAAAAAAAAAAAAAAAATATGATACTCAAGTTCACTTTGCATTAGTAAAATGAATCACTCAAAATTGTTTCTTCTGGTGTTTCCATCCATCATTGTCAAAGCCCACTCATATTTGCATCTGCATCCCTGTGATGTGCAGGAAGCGTTACACTAATATTTATGAAGCTTTAGTACTGAAAGCATCAACTGACCTGTTCTCTATCAGCATCGCTTCAGCAAGAGCAGAGACAGCTGCAAACAAGACAGAGACTCTGCAGCCAAACTAGTGGCTCTGTCAAGATGAACGTAGACACAGCAGTGCTTTGAGCTAAATGCTATGGTCCGTATTTGACATTCTTACAGTGACAATGCTGATGTTTAGCAGGTGGAATGTTTACCATGTTCAAAAACTTTACTGTGTTAACATGCTAACATTTGCTAATTTGTACAGTTTCAATCTAGTTTCAGTCTGGGCCCCCACTGCTTTGTCTCC